CTCTCTCTCTCTCTCTCTCTCTCTCTCTCTCTCTCTCTGGTGAGGGGGGCATGTCGCAGCTACGTGTTCTCATAAATGTATGTGGTGTCTCATGCGATAGATGGAACCCGCGATTGCATCGACTGTCAACGGTGGAGAGGCATGCGCCATGGAGACGGAGGACATTCTGAAGGGTTTTGCAGATGGCAGCAAGGAAGGGAATTCGGCAGGAGGGAACAACGCAGACTGTGCAGAGGTGCTTGCGACAATATGTGCACAAACTGCACAGATGATGGGTGATGGTGGTGAAACAGAGAACGATGCAGGAGGGAGCACTTGTGAGACGGAAACGGCTGGGGAAGAGAGAGAGGAGGGAGGTCTGGGAAGCAGGGAATCTCTGACAGGGTGTATTGTGAAAGATGAAAATGTGGTGAAGACATCAGCAGGAGAAGAGTACCCATATGACATCAATTGGGTGCCGGGTCGTGTTCAACTGGGTATTGTTGGAGTAGCACCCTGCTTTGCGTTCAAAGTCGAAGGGACATGGGTTCCATTTCCAACACCCAAAAAGAATACATGGCGAAACGTGACTCTGGCAATCGTGTTTGACAGACTATTAAGGTTGAACGACGGGGCAACAACAGAGGTGAAAGCACGATATGCAATGGACGTGTGGCGTCATCTGGGGTCGCAGGGCGAGTTCAGGATGAACGATTTTTTGTACGACAGTTTTGATTGCGGAAAGGCATGGGTGATTGGCGGGAACGACGCAACAGGGAGTATGGCGTGCGACGAGAGCGATGCGAGGAGGTATCCTAGGTGGGGTTGGGTGCCATGTGTGATCCCGATTCCATGTGGCCGTGTGAGGATGATGATGCGTGATGCCATGGGAAATATTTGGAGCACGCATTATGTGAATGGCAACTTCTCCTTTAAGCACCTTGACAGGGAGGTCTCAGAAGACGAGAAGAAGGCAATGACATGTAATACCCACACTGCTGGCTGCTTTTTCTCGCCGTTTCGGAACCCTGTGGACTCGGAGGTGGTTGAAGGGAAAGTTTTCACTGGTGAGGATGGCAGCACATACACGCATGCAAGAGGGCAGGAAGCCACGTACGATGGAGTATGCTCGCAGATATGGGACCATGTCACAATGAGGAGTGACGTTCTGTCTGCCATAGACATTGGGGCCCGTGTCATCCCTGAAGGACAGTTGCAGCAGCATATGGCCCCTGAAAAGTATGGCTATCGTGTGAATTGGGTCCCAGGATGTTTGCATCCTGCAGTGGTTGATGGCAAGGTGACGATGGCAGCAAGACTGCAATCAGGGCATTGGCTCCCATTGGGATGGATGCATGCAGGCATTGTGGAGCATTGGCAGTTCCTCGTGGTTCTGGCACGTGTCTCAATTTTCAATGTGAATGTAAAGGACCACGTCCTGGTGGTTGAACACGCAAAGCGGTGCTGGGAGAAGATAAGGGAGGAGGAGCGTCAGATGGTGTGCGTGGGTTATGACTCCATGGCTGACCAGGGGATGTGGTCCATGGTTGAGGGGAGTTGTACGGCCCAAGAGCACGACGACGGTGAGAACAGATACATGGCTCGCATTCGCCGCAGGCACGGTTGCACGACCCTTCTTGGTTGGGCCCCGGTCGTATATCCCATGACATATGAGCATGGTGGAGACGTCACCATGAGATTCAAAGACCCGCTTGGTGTGCCTTTCTATCTGACCTACTCAGATGGACTCCTGCTAAACATTCGGTATATGTCGGAGGATGGCTTTTCAGGTTCAGCGCACGCAGGCAAGAGGAGAGAGAAGCGCTCAGAAATTTTCCGCTTGTCTGCTGAGGTGGAGGGCCCATGTGGTCCTGTCACGTCGGGGGATGCTTTGCAGCACAGGGTGACATGGGCGGGCCGAGTGATGTCGTGATGTCGCAAAGCCCGAGGAAGAAGAAGAAGTGCACACCTGGACCGCCACGTGGGCAGACGCCCGCAGGCAGAAAGAAGGTGAACCCGAAGGCAGTGCCAGGGACCGGAGACACCGCAGGTGCACGAACTCAGGTCCCCAGACGCCGTCGACGCCCCGGGATGACAACTTTATCGGAAATCAGAAAGTTGCAATGATCCACCGACCTTTGTTTGGCTTTCAGGCCGTTCTTGCGTCTCGTGTGCGAGGTTGTGGAGCGGGACATTGCTCCAAGTATGGGCGTGAGGTTTCAGATGACGGTGGTGCGTACTTTGATGGAGGCTGCCAGGGCATACCTGGTCGCTAATTTCGAGAACACCAACGAGGTGGCCATCCATTCGAAGAGGGTGACGATCCAGGTCAGGGACATGAGACTGGTGGATAGGTTGTCGAAGCCTCGCTGGGTTGAGAAATATCAAGGTATGTTGGACGAGAAGGCGAGAGCTGAGTAGAGACAGGAATGGATGGACGCGAGACAGGCGGAAAGGGATGGCAGCAGAGCAGGGGCGAAGAAGAGGAAAGTAGTTCCACGTAAGGGGGGGTCCGCGAAAAAAAAGGCAGCTTGATAATTCTACTGTGTGTGCTGCATAACAGTTGTCCTGTCGAATCGTGGACTCCGTGGAAGTCTTCGTGGTGTTAGGTGGGTTGAATAGGTGGAGAGAGAGAGAGAGAGAGAGAGAGAGAGAGAGAGAG